CGCTGCACCTATCCTATCCCAAGTTTGTGTGTTTCTATAACTTTAAAAATATTATGTAACTAAAAAATGAAATCTTTCCATTTACAACAATATGGATATACCTTGAAGCCGTTATGCTAAGTGAAATATGTCAGAGAAAGACAAATATCGTATGGTATCATTCATATGTGGGATCTAAGAAAGCTAAATTCACAGAAATAGAGAGTAGAGTCATGGTTACCATGGTCTTTGGGGTGGAGAAGATGAGGAGAAGTTCGTCAAAGAGTACAAAGTTCCAGTTAGGAGATGAGTAAGTTCTAGGGATCTGATGTACAGTAGTGTGATTATAGTTAACAATACTGTATTATACACTTGCAAGTTGCTAAGAGACTAGATCTTCAATGTTCTCACCACATAAAAAGAAATGGTAATTATGTAATGTGGTGGGAATGTTAGCTAACGTTGGTCATCACATTGCAATACCCAAGGGTATCAAATAAACACATTGTACAGCTTCAACTTAAAAAGATTTAAAATAAATAAAAGTATTATGTAACTAATACACATTACTTGGAGAAATTTCAGAAATACTTGCAAACGAAAAGAAAACTCTCTTCTAGAAACCCAACACACACATATTACTATTGTTACCATTTTGGTGTACGGAGAGAGCGTGTTGATGTGGGTGGCCCAGCCTTCATTCTGCCTTCTTCAGGGAGCCATACCCCTATTTGGCTCTGTGATTGGCCCCTCAATCAATAGAATATCATGTCTAGTGGGACTGCCAATCTGGATGTCACAACCTCTGCTGTCAAAACCTCAGTAGACCGGTGAAGAAGGTGATATTTCCGTCTTCAACTAAGTGAAAATGCTGGGCTTCCTTCCTCCTGAGAGGAGAACAGTGAGGAGATCACCCATTAGTTTCCATCACCCGGACACGTGGCGCATCCCTGGGTCTTGGGCCTTCTGAGAACTAATCTTCAGCTTTCCCTCCAATTCTTTTATGGTAAATTGATTGCATTGATGGTTCCAACTGGTGGCCTTCACATTCATGCCCATTTCAGAGGTAGAATCCTATGGAGAGTTGGAATCTAGTCCTGTACCCCTCGGATCTGGGATGTCTTGTGACTTGCTTTGGCCTGAATGCTCTGGTTTTGTTTCAGTTTTTGTCTTTTTGGCTAACCTAATTCCAACTCACAAGGTCAAAGCCATTTGTCAGTGGTCCCTGTAAGCATATACAGAGCATGCTCATGCTCTCACACAGGCTTTTCCTTGTCCCCCTTCAGCCTCTCCACCTTGTTAGCATCTAGATATTGCAGAGCTTAGGCTTCCCAGGGCACTGTGTGCTCTTTTGCGCTCTCTCCCAGAACCCTGACTCACTTATAAGAACAAGAAGGGTCTATGCTCCTGGGGGATGAGAAAACATTTGGCGGAGAGCCCAGGGCCTTAGGCAACTAGCTGCCCTGAGATATATGGGGAAGAGCAGCCTTACTTCTGAGCCAAATAAAATGATTTTTTTTAAGCCACTGCATTTGGGGTGGTTTGTTATGCAGCAAGAGCTAACTGATACTTCCACATCTGTCCAATAAATTATTTTTCTTGTGAGCCAGAGTGAATTTTGGTGGCTGTAAACAAATAAATTGACACTTTCCATTCTTCTACCAGAATATGATCATACTTTATCCTCTTTTGTAATCTGCCTATTTCACTTAGCAACTGATTTTGAGCATCTTCCCTTAACAATAAATTGGGCCTAGTAAAGAAGGCAGATCTACTAAATGCAACTTCTGAGCCTCTGCCCAAATCCTTTTCATCCTGACATTATGGCCATTGGCCAAAATACCATTCTTAGATGGGCCTAGCTTGACCTGTTCAGCAGGAAATGCCTTTGTTCAGTGAGATTATGGGACAGTACAATGATTTTTCACAGCTCGATGCCCAAGAGAAGGACACAGTCATGCCTCAGAGGTGCTTGGGAACATTAACATTTCCAGCCACCGTCTACCTCTTTGGAAAAAGAAGATGGTAATTTTACTCAAAGTGTTCCATTCTCTTCAGAAGGATGAGACATGTACAGAAAAAGAGATACTTCCTACAGTGACTTTATTTTCTGAAAACGAGTCTGAGTGATTAAAGTTCTCCAGTCCTTTTCTTTTTGATCATCCTATTTCCAACCGCATCTTTTTCTTTTTCTTTCTTTCTTTCTTTCTTTCTTTCTTTCTTTCTTTCTTTCTTTCTTTCTTTCTTTCTTTTAACAAATGGTAGCTTCAACTTGATGTATTGTTTGGAGGAGTAGGACAAAGGGAGAATGCAATGCTTGTCTGATAAGCTGAGTCTTTACGCTAATGGAAATATATTAATATTTCTCCCCCCCCAAAAAAATGAGTGTTTATCAAGTGCATCTCCTGCAGCTCCACACATCTTTCTCTTGGAGGGAGTTTCCTGAATGCATTATCTGCTTTGGTCCTTTCCAACATGGTATGCAACTGGAAGTGTATTCTTATTTTGAGTCCTTTTCCTTTGCTTCTGGTTTTGCGCTGATAATAATAATAGCTAGCATTTATAACATTGCCCATGGCATTTCACTCACTGAATCCTCACAAAAGCTCCACGAGGGAAGTGTTATTTCCCCAAGGTTTAGGGAAGGCAAATCAATGGTGCAAGGGCCCACAGGTAACAAGTATCAGGAGCTGAGATTTCAACCCTAGTTTGTCAGACTTCTGAGTCAAATTGCTTTAACTTGATGCTACACTGCCTCAGTCACTATGGGATTCTAAATAAAGACAAAAAAACATACAAAAAAACAAAAACGCCCACATTAAACCATCAAAGTATGGAACCCATGCTTTTTTTTTTTTTCCAAGTAGAAAGCAATAAGTTGTCTTCATGAGCCTCTTTCCAATCCTACAAGGGTATGATGTTGATATCATACCTGATCTATCCTGTCTTTCCACCCTAAGCAACTTCCCCAGTTTTCCACACAAGCCTGAGGGGACAGGAGACAGTATCTCTCTGAATGAGATCACAGGGGACTCTGGTAGTTAACCTCACTCCGGAACTTGAGAAACATTCACAAAGTTACCGCAATTATGTAGGTACTCGAGGGTGAGAAAGAGTACATGATATGCTGAGCAAACTCTCTCATTTTTGAAGTGGATTTCATCTTAAAGGGTGAATACTTAGGGAAAACACAAGAGCACCAACAAGAAAAGCCAAGACTAAGAACTGCAGCCCAGTCTATCGATCAGTACTATGCAAAAGAACTTTCTGTGATTATGGAAATGTATTCTATCTGTGGTGTCCAGTACAATAGCTACTGACCTTGTATGACTATTGAGCCCTTAAAATGTGGCTAGTGCAGTGGAGGGGACTGAATGTTTAATTTTCATTAATGTTAATTTGTTAATTTTAATTAGCTAAAATTTAAATGGAAATAACTACATGTGGCCAATGACTACTGTATTGGATGCTACAGCTCCAAATGGCCATAGAAGAATGTCATAGGTGGGGGTCATCAGGGAAGGTTTCAAGACGTATTTTGAGCGGCTTTCAAAGTAGAATAGGGAGGGAAGAAAATGTAATTGGAACGAAAAAGAAGAAAAGAGAAGAGACAAAAGCTCTGTCCTAGTAGAACACCAGAGGTTATAGATTCAAATGCCTACTGCAAGGACCATGAAAGTCATGTAGAGAAGGGAAATAGGTTGGTGGTAAGAGATAGTAGGGCATGGTGGGGACTATGGAAAATTAGACACACTACCTTATCTAAAGCATTAGTCATTAGTCCACTCCAGCCAGTTAATGCCATACAGAAAGTCAGACCCCGTGGTGATGACTGTCTTCTTAATTTTTTTTTAAGGGAGTCGGAAATTCCGATTTTTACATTGTCATCTAGTTTTGAACGTTGGCACCTATATCAGTCCATGTGGGCTAAATGTTTTCAGCAGACACTGTTGGTGCCCCCCTCACGTCTACTCAGCACTTGTCTCTGCACCCCAGGCTGCCTCCTGAACACAGCTTTAACTCTCTCTGAAAACATCATGCGCACACTTGGCGGTCGTGCAGGGTATGCGCGGAATGTTGAAGAATTCGTGTGCTTGGTGGCAGCATTCCACCAATGACAGATGCAGAGGGAGTGCACTGATACCCCAGTCTCCTCACCTCTCCATTGAGATAGCTCTGAGGTGGCTTCTGTGTTGTCCCCCACAGTTGCCCTGTGTGACTGAGCCCCAGCGGCCCCCAGCAGAGACTGGTGGACAGTCTATCATTCCTTGGATTCCACTCCTGCCCCATCCCATGTCCCCACTCCCCTACTGATGTTTCCAGGGGTCACCTTCAAATAAACAACTTGCACACAACTCCCTATCTCAGAACCTGATTTTGGAGGGAACTAAACAAAGACACAGTTGTCACACACAAACTCAATATCTCAGGGGTGAACTCAGTGAGGGTCTGATCTTCCCTCCAACCACAGCCAATGCAGGTCATGGTGGAGACTCTGTCACAGCCTTCAGGGACACGGGCTGTTTTCTGCATGGGGATCTGCATCTTCTGTGATATCTTCTCTCCATGCATTCAGCTGCAGATATAAAGAGCGAGCCTGGGAGAAGGATTTTCATTGACAAGACCTAGAAGCACCCATTCCATTGGCAGAACTCCATCATGTGGTCCCTGCTCCATGCTGGGGAAGCCGGGAAATACAGTGTAGCTGTGCACCATTATAAAAGGGGCTTCTGCCCCCGAGGCTGACTCAAATTTTGTAAGACGCTGCCCAGGCCCAAGAGAGCATGTCAATGGACCACAGTCGGTTTGCTGCTCACCAGCACTGGAAATTTCCACCCACACATTGTTCCCTAAAATCGAGGAAAAGTTGCTAGTAAGTCACCCAATGAGTTCTTAACTTACACAGAAACAAGAATCACACCTTTTACCCCATTGGATGATAAAATAAATGTGTGGAAATCAAATCAGTTCTTCACTGACTAATTTTATAATTTCAGGGAGAAAATGATTTCATCTCTGATAGTTCTTCGGTGAACAGAGGCTCCCAACATGGTAGCTTTCCTTGCTTCCTTCATTCTCTGTGACGTGTTTATCTATCTGTAAAGAAAAGGTCAGTTACGTGTTGTCTTACTCCCACTTCCTCTTTGACTCCCCCCACCCCCTCAACATTCCACTCATGCTGTCTGTTTCTCAAACTTGCCAAACGAGGGTCCCTGGGGAACACAGTCCATTAAACATCTCACTCTTGGTTTCGGTTTGGATTGTGATCTCAGGGTTGTAGGATTGAGCCCTGGGGCTGGCTCTGCGCTCAGTGGGGAGTCTGTTCGGGATTCTCTCTCCCTCTCCCTCTGCCCCTCTGCCCCTCTCATGTGCGTGCTCTCTCTCGCTCTCTCTCTCTCTCAAATAAATAAATCTTTTAAAAAAACCAGCCAAACATTTGCCCACATCCCAGGCTTTGCAGACACTGTTCCCTGTTCTAGGAATGTATTCCCTCTCTCATTTCTTCCTGTTTCCCCATTCTTTACCTAGCTGGTCCCCCATGTATCAATCAAGTCTCAGTGTAAATATTCTTTCCTCAGAGACGCTTTCACTGACCACCCAAAATCAAGTCCCTTTCCTCTGCCCACTGTTATTCTCGCTCATTCCATCTATGACAATTTGGAACCACATTTGTATATTTCATTCCAGGGACTGCTCACTTCAATACCATACACACAGTACCCAGCCCAGTGTCTGGCCTGGTGCTCAAAATAGGTTCGAATAAATAAATGAATACCAAGAAAAGTCCACTGCTTTAAAGAATTTTGTGAGGATACCTTTTATAATTAAAATAGCATACCCCAATCTGTTTTGAAAGTTTAGTTAAGCTTTATTGGGATTTGAGAAAGAGTAGTATTTGTACAACAAATGTTACCTGAAGCAACAACATAACATAAAAATTCTTTCTTTATCCCAGAAATCCATGAACTTAGTCTTTTCTAAAACTAGCCTTGATAAACTCACTGTGATCATTTATCAACAGGAGGGTAGGGTTGAAAGCTCTTTGAAAAAAGCAAAGAGGCATTACAATGCAGAGGGTTATTTCCCAAAAACATAATTGGCCTACCAAGATTCTCCAGTTTCTACCAATTGACCTATCAAAACATAAATGATCTACCAAGTTTCTCAGGGGGGAAAAATGCTTTGAGTTAACCTCTCTTCTTCCTTTTTTTTTTTACCCTGTGCATTCCAATCCATCCATCATTCTGAACTATACTCCCAAATGTAGTCCCTTTTCCCCCCAGAGATAGTGGCCTGTATGAAAATAAAATAGGGATATTACATTAAAAGATTGTGGATTTTTTTCCCCTGAGCATTTTCTTCTTCATGTCTGTGCTACATTTTGTCTTCAGTTGTTCTAAAATGGCCCTGGGGGCATTACACAGTAATTAGAAGTCAGCTGGTCAGACATTTTGGTTCCTGGACCCAGCATCTGCCAATTGAGGCCCTGAGCAAGTCCCACAGTCGGGTCTCAGCCATGATCCCTTGTGTGTGAAAGAGGAATATTGGCGCCTCCTTCATAAGGTGGGGATGGCCATGCATGAGGATTGCAACATGCGAACACTTTAGAAAAGGGGGGAAAAAAAGAAAAAGAAAGAAAGCCTTGCCTTGAATCCACTATGAACTCTTTATATAAACATATAAACGTACCCTAAACTCTCTGGGATGCACCTGTTTTTTCTAAAAACATCAAATGAAGGGGTGCTGGGTTACAGGAACTCTGTTGTGCTTTGGTGTTGACATTCTGCAGCTCATGGGAAATGACAAAAGATCCGGAGGTTCTGCTTTTACTCAAGATTGTGTCACTCCAAGCTGCCAAGTGTACAATGAAGCTGTCTATCTAAGAAGCAGTTACTTGTTTAGTTAGAGATGTGGTTTTTGGTTTTTGTTTCGGAGGGATCTGTTGCCAACTGGTGGGATTTGAAAGTGTTTTCCCTGTAGGAGGCAGATTCGGAAGTCTAGCCTGCTAAGACGCTTTTGGAAGCTGAAACTAATTAAAATATTTATTTTAGCCCCCCGTAGCTAAGAGGCAGCAGGGGAGAAAGTCCCACATTCATTTTTATGGAAGTGTAATTATATTCACTAACCTTTTGTGTACCCTGTTCAGCAACTGCCTCGGGGCCACCCCACCTGCTCAAACACCTGCCCGGTGTGTGAGCATTTGGTAGAATAGTACTTAATGCCTGAGCTGAGGGCATGTGGGCTTCCCCACCCCCACAAAGGACAATAGGGCCTTGTTACACCTTTCATCACCTCTAGACTCACCTCTGGGGAAAATATTTTCCTAGTTTCACCTTCAGTGAGAGCTACAAAGCTATGCAAAAGAGAACACGAGAAGGAGAAAGAGAGAAGCTAAAAGACAAAGTAATGTCCTTTCCTGTGCAGGGTATCACAGAGGTTGAGAAAGATAGGAGACTATGTAAGAGTCCCCCCTACTTCCTGACTGCTTATGAAATCCTTGAAAAAGTGTAAAGTCACATTATAAGACAAGCTAATGTAAACATGCACTGTTTTTGAATGGTGAAAACTAATAATGATGGCACTTTCACTGAAAACAGGAGTCTCAGGGGATGAGACCGGGAGAAGACCAGAAACGAGGAACACACACGGCGTCCATGCATCAGCTGGATGGTTGCCTCGCATTACCCTGTTACTCCTCCCTACTCCCCACCATCGATGTTGCCATGAATACTTTACAAATGCAGAAACTGAGACGCCAGGAAGATCTGTGACTTGGGAAGTAGTTCTTAGTAGTCTGAGAACATAAACTGAGAAGGTCCCATGGACCCCGGAGGTTGGAGCTCCACCTCCACTAATGCGAGCAGCGCGACTTTGGGCCAGGTACGTAGTCTCGCTGAACGTCCATTTTGCCATCGATAAAAGGGAGGTGATCACGAATCAATTAAGTGTTAAACTAGAAATAAACATATCAGCATCCAGAGAGAGGGGAGATCAGGAAATCGTGAGGAGGGCATGCAATTTGAACTGGCCCTTGAAGAATGAGGTGATGTAAAGAGGTGGAGAAGGGGAGAGAGAGTGAACGTGTGTGAGAGAAGTCTTGGGGGGAAGAAAATGGAGAGTCTGCCTGTCCTAATATAATATGTACATTGTAATTCCTCTTCATCATCAAGGCTGGGAATTCTAGAAGCCTTACAGAGTCTCTTCTCTTGATAAAAACAAATACTTCTGAACTCATCAAACAGCGTTTTCTCTAAAGACTGGGATAGGAGTCAAAGGACCCACGTAGGGTATGTTCCAGAGTCGAGAGGACTGTTTCTTTTCAGTTCTCGTGTTCTCTCTAGATTGTGTGCTTCCTTTGTCTATCCCATAGGGTTTGATACTAAGTTGAAAATCCGTGAGGCTCTAAATAGAAACGTGATTTGTATAAATTCTTGTGGAGAAGTGGACTGATTTCAGCCTTTGTGAAACACCCGCCTGGCAATGAAGACTGAACCATGAACTTGGCACGGAATTTGAAGGCTTGGTCCCCACCCTCAAAGAACGTTCATCTCTAAAGAGAACAAAGCTCACAACATCTCATAACTGGGAGATACTGTGGCAGAGAGAGGTGAGCAGCATGGGATCTAGTTAATTTCCCTTGCTTTTCTTAACATTAAAATGGACATAATAGTCCATGGGATTTTCGTGGGCTTAAATGAGATCATGCAAGTCAACCTCAGCGCAGAGCTTGGCTTACACTAAGAGTTCAAAGTTGGCTATAGGTTGGTTCAGAAATGAGAGAAGTGATCATCCAAGGTAGAGCAGCAAACACTCAAGAGGCTTACCTGGACGTATACCAGGTAGAGCTCAAGCTGCTGTCAAATTCTTTTTAAGGCATTTAGTGCTAACTATATAGCTCACAGTAGGAATAGACACTTCTTGCCCATGCCATTTCTGTGCAGTGGAGCAGACAGAGGGAAACAATGTTAAAGAATTAGAAGGGAGCTCGCTTCTGGGTCTGGGAAGACGCAGATGGGAGGTGGCTCTGAAAGTCATGGCCGTTTATTATTGTTGTTTTTTTTTTTTCCTGCCTGAAATGGAGGGATGGGTAAATTGGAGACACATAAAGCAATAGAGTGCCCATCACCCAGTTACCCCCTCCCCCTAGCCCCCTCCCCTCCAGCAACCCGCAGTTTGTTTCCTAGAGTTAAGAGTCTCTTATGGTTTGCCTCCCTCTCTGTTTCCCTCTTATTTTATGTTTCCAGAGGCCCCATTTTAATATCGACAACATTTCCTTTTTCTAAGACTGCTCTGAGGGAAGCAAGCAGGCAGATTTGATAGTACGGAGCTAGAATCATCTGGTCTCCGAGGCATCTGGGTTGGGAGCAGTGGTGTCCAGCCCTGGCACGGAGGAGGGAGGAAATCAGCTCTCCCGGAAATGCGTTTGGTCCACACGAATGTGCTCTCCTGGGGAGGGTCCAGGAGTCCTTGAATTCGTATTGACTTGGTTTCTTCCGGTTGGAAGCCCCATCAACCATAAAATGAAGTTCCCCAGCAACTGCACTTAGCATAAGGGTGCCACAAATAGCAAAAAGGGGGTTCTGGTTCAAAAGCTCCTGTTCCAAATTTAACCTGTGTTTTTGGTGAGCTTGGTGGGGGTGGGGTGGACGCCTGCCTAGAGGGTCTCAGGTGGATCCTATTAATATGCATTCCTGCAGCTGGGGAGGCGACAGTGCTCAGTTGTACTTGGTTGAACGATGGTTTTGGATGTGATCATGCTCCTCGCCTGAATGAAGATAAAAGAGAACCGCCTACGAGGACAGATTCAGCAGAAGCGGGTGTTGAAATACACAGGGGAAGCTTTGCCAGCTCAACAGAGACGGGCTGAAGGGAGGAAGGTGAGAAGGTAGACGCCCTAATCACAAGAACAGCTATAGGGAGAGCGTTTCCTGCTCGCTCCCTCTGTGCCCTGCACTCAGGACCAGACTTGCTGGTCCACACGGTTCCTCACGCTGTGAGGTGGGGGCTCTGATCTTATTCTCTGTTGCGGTGCCCCAGGCGTGGAGAGGTCAGGTGCCTGCCCAGGGTTACAGGACCCGAAAGTTCAGAGGCAGGACTTGGATGCAGACTGGCCTGATTTCAGAGTCTCCGCTCCTTCCACCACGCTGCCCCTGCTAGTCTCTAATACAGGCTTCGCTGACACCAAACGTGTTGCACACCTGCTGTGGGCAGTGTGCAAAATCCCCAGGGCAGGGTGGCGGCGGGGGGGGGGGCACGGAAAGAAAGATCAAACCAAGTGTGCCTGTAAAATAGTTCTGAACGTTCTCAAAAAAACGATCAACTATTTGTGCGGTCGCTAATTGATTGAGAATAAGGGCTACCTCCCAAAGAGAATCATAATCCATCCTGGGGTGGAGACCCCATCTGCTTCTTATCCAGAGCGCTTTGCTCAGAAGCCTGCATCTAGAAGGTGTCTTCGGGATTCTAGAAGCCTTAAGCTGGTCAGTTCTCATTTCAGGGTAGATCATAATTACCTGTTTGAAAGCCAGAGAGGTGAGGGATAGGATCCAAACTTCTGTCCAGCTCTGGTTCGGTGAAAGTAGCCTTTCCATCTTTCCTCCCTCTAAACTCCGGTGGTTTCCTCCTCCACGTGGCTCTCGGTACCCAGGGAATGACAATTCCTGGAAGCCTAGTGGTCAGGACCCAGGGTCTGGATCAGGAGCTCTTATTATGAGAGTTTTCTTCACCAAATCTAATACCATTTCCTGAGCAGAAAGAACAGATAATAGTACCCACATTATAAGGTTATTGAAAATATTTAAATGAGGTAATTTCTATAAGCCCAGTAGCTGGGAAAGAATTATAGGCTATTATGAATATTATTATTATATTTACACTTACCACTACTATGTAGTTCCTGGTTGTCTTCTACCAACCTCACCCCCTGATACACTTGTTTTCTGTTAAAGTCCAATATCCTAGAAAGAGCTTTTAAGGCCTTGGGTCAAGGTTAGTGAAATCAGTGAACTGAAAACCACTAAAAAGTTCTAAGGCAAATTGCACTCCTGGGTATTTACCCCAAAGACACAGATGTAGTGAAAAGAAGGGCCATATGCACCCCAATGTTCATAGCAGCAATGTCCGCAATAGCCAAACTGTAGAAAGAGCCAAGATGCCGTTCAACAGATGAATGGATAAAGAAGATGTGGTCCATATACACAATGGAATATTACTCAGCCATCAGAAAGGAGGAATACCCAACTTTTACAACAACATGGATGGGACTGGAGGAGATTATGCTACGTGAAATAAGTCAAGCAGAGAAAGTCAATTATCATATGGTTTCACTTATTTGTGGAACATAAGGAATAGCATGGAGGACATTAGGAGAAGGAACAGAAAACTGAAGGGGGGGAATCGGAGGGAGAGATGAACTGTGAGAGACTATGGACTCTGAGAAACAAACAGGGTTCTAGAGGGGAGGGGGTAGGAGGATGGGTTAGCCCAGTGATGGGTATTAAGGAGGGCACATACTGCATGGAGCACTGTGTGTTATACAAAAACAATGAATCGTGGATCACTACATCAAAAACTAACGATGTAATGTATGGTGACTAACATAACATAATAAAAAAAAAAAGTTCTAAGGCAAGAAGTCAGAAGCATTGCTTTCCCTGGATCCAGCTTTTCTCCCAATGATCCAAATTGAAAACACAAATTAAGGCAGAAATAATCTGCTTTACAAGATTATGCATCAGCGACATTGAAGGAATTTTCTGTTCTATAGCCCTTCGTTTGAGAGTACCGGAAAGACCTTTTTTTTTTCTTTTCTTTTCTTTTTGGTAAGGCGGTCACTATCATGTACTATAAATTGCCTTACATTTCCAGGCTTGCCTAATCCCAACGCCAAGCCCCTGTCATCCCCCCCAACAAAAGGACACTGAAAATGATTACAAGCGTTCTGAAGTTTCCCGATTCAGCCTCCAAAGGAACTTCGACACAAATGTCATTAACTGTTTAGAGGATTTATAGGTTTGGGGGAAGTTTTTCTTTTTGGGTGGAGAGGAAGGAGGGAAGAAGGAAGGCTAAAAAGCATTTCTCAGACTACCAGAAGTGGTGATGGAGACTCCCCACCCTTGAGGCTTCCTTTTTCTCTAGAAAAAAACAAAACAATGTTCCTGGTGTTTCCCAGGAGAGCCCAGAGCCTAGCCCCAAGCGGACAGATGTCAGTGATTCTACCCTCCATTTTGCTGGCCAGAGTCACTGGAGCTTAAAGAAGAGGAAGTAAATGAATTCATGCACACATCCTGATAACCTGTAGCCACAGGTCGAATTTCGCCAAGGTCAGTTAATAATGACTGAAGATTCTTCTCTTAGAAAAACATCTGAGCAGCCATTTTGTCTCAGGGAAGCTGCCCGGGTCCAGTGCACAGAGTTGGATAGGCCTTCGTTGTATATGGCATTTCCTTGAAATAAGCAGCCCTCTCTGGAAGAGATCAGAGGGCAGAAGGAAGGAAAGCGCTTTGCGGTGAAGTAGAAACTGTCTTAGGGTCTACGGCCATACCACCCTGAACGTGCCCGATCTCGTCTGAAACTGTCTTAGGCCCTGTAGATACTTGCCCTCGGGCTACACGGCAAAAGCCTGGAAATCCCAGAGCAGCAGCTTGGAAGTCCCACGTGCTGCATATTTGAGCATTTTTATGCTCGTGTCAACACTTGTCCTTCTGTTTGTGCAGATTAACTTTAAATAAACTTGTTCTCCTTTTGGGTGGCATTTCTTGCTTCGTCTCTCTTGATTTTTTTTCTCCCCCTTCCATTTCATAATCATTTCCATTCCCTCGGTGACACTTCGAGAGGAGAAAACCTTTCCCTGAGGGATGATGTCGTGATCACCTTGCGGCCACAAACACGGGGGTTTGTCTGGAGTGGGAGGATGCCTGCCTCCCTGCTCCCGCGGGCCCTGACTGAGCTGAGGCGGGGAGGCTTGTAGCCCAGCATGGCAGTAAGGACCCCGCGGTAGGCAGATGACACCTGGAATCCTGTCCGTACCCGTGAGCATTCCATAATCTCAGACCAGCTGCTCAGCCCCTTAAACCTTGGTTTCCTGGTCTCCAAAAGTAGGACTACAGTAGCATCTGCCTCACAGGGATGTAATAAGGGTTACATGATTTCATAAAGGTTCGGTCAACCCTAACTTACTGAGGTCTCCTCTACCTAAACGTCTGAGAGAGAAGACGAGCTAGAAGTGCTGAACGTCTTAGGACATCTTTAACGCCATCTGCGCTTTCCATAAACATTATAATGCTTTCGTGACTTCTGGGGAGGGAGGATGAGGACAAGAGGTTGTCCATCTTGAACTGTACTACCCTTCTTTCTGACCCAAATCCCTGTCTGTCTTCTAGTTCTAACCATACTTGCCCTTCAACCTCCTTGGGGTCACCCCATGACCTCTGCTTTGGATCCCATGCTCTCCCACCTTCCTTCGGAAGAAACCTTCGATATGTCAATGATCCCTTCTCTCGTCTCAATGAGGTCCTTCCCATCCAGGGTCTGACCCCCTCTCAGCACCTCCATGTTAGAAAATAACCTCCCCGAGCCACGTCCCCACTCCAGCTACTACTCCACTTCTCTCTCTCCCTTCAGAGTCCATCTTTTAATAAACTGTGTATTCATTGCTGCCATTTTTTCATATCTAATTCACTCTTCCACACATTATAATCTGGTTTCCAGCCCAAACATTCCTCCAAGAGTCGTTAAGGTCCCTGATGCTCTCCCTGTTGTTAATCCAAAAGACATTTTCAGTCTTCATCTCATTGATGACTCCCTCGATGTGGTCCCTCCTGTTGGACTTCCTTGGCTCCAGGACATCGGGTCTTGCTCTCCCTCCCACCTCTCTACCTGCTCCTATTTTGTCTCTGTTTCTGGCTCATTCTCCTCCCCCTTTCATTAAATGTCGAATTTCCTAGAGTCTCAGTCCTAGATGCTCTTCTCACTGTGTGTACTATCTCCAGGAAATTATTACCAGTTATGATTTCAATGATCCTCTCCATGTCAGTGAAAACCAACTTATATCTCCAGCTCAAACTGCTTCTCTGTTACCCAGACCTACATGCCCAACTACCTATTACATCTCCATTTGGAAGGCATTCCTCATCAACATGTCCAAGGCCAAGTTCATGATCTTTCCCAGCAAATCTGCTCCTCTTCCTTTGTACACAATCTCTCAAGGAATAGTACTGTAGTCCATCCTGTGTGTATCAGCCTCTTTGTCTCCCTCTCCTTCACTCACCATAGCTAATATATCACCAAAACCTACTATCTCTTCCATTTCAGAAATATCTCTCAAAACAATCCCAATTCCTATACTGCCATCATGTTCTGTTTTCCTGGACTTCTTCCCCATTTGTTCTGCTAGCTCAGCCCAGTTCCTTTTGCCACTGTAGCCAATCATGACACGTTCTTTGAGGAAACTTGTCAGTGACTTGCTATTGATCACAAGAAAGTAACCAAAATCCTGATATAGTATGGCAAAGACTATTTTTCCATGATATCCATTCCCCCCTCTTTATAAAGATCTGATATTGTTGGCATGTCATTGTATCTCCTTACACACCCAAGACATTTCTAACCTCTTATACAGAGAGGAATAACCTGTAAGATATAAGCAGAAGGTGTTAAATGGAGTGGCCAGGAAGGCCCTTCAAAAGAACTTCTAACTCTTCCTGCCTGAAATGTGGATATGATGACTGGAGTTCCAGCAAGCATGAGACCTTGAGGATGGATGCTAGAATGGGAATGGTAAGACAGAAAGATGAAGGAAGCCTGTGTCCTGGTGACATTGTAGAACCACCATGTAAGACTTAACTGTCTACTGGGCTTCTATGTGAGAGAACAAAATCCTCAGTGGTTTAAACTCACTATTGTTGGATTTCTGGCTCTGGCAGTTGCACTCGGTTTCCAGTTGATACCCACAGGATTTACAAGGCCCTCCATGGGCTGGTCTCTGCTCTACCTTACCAGCTTTCTTTGCCCCACTCTTGCCCTTCTGTTCTGCAATGCACGCTGGCCTGAGTTCCATTGTTCATATACATCATGTGAGCTTTCCTGACCAGGGCCTTTCTCTACTCTTCTCTCTGTCCATAGGACTGTCCTTCCTGACCCTTTATCCTCCCACCTAATTTACCTCTAGTCATCCTTCAGATCTCAGTTGGAGCAGAACTTTCTTAGGGGAGTCCTCCCTAAAACGCCCTCTTTTCCTCTTTACTTCCTCCCTCCTTCCACTAATCTAGAATAAGTTCCTTGTTAGGTGCTGTCACAGAACTATAATCTTTTGCTTCAGAAGACTATTCTTAGGGTTAGGAATGATTCAGTTATGTAATTATTTGATAAATATCTGTCTCCCTTATTAGATTTGAACTTCATGAAAGCAAAGGCCATGTCCGCTTTTGTTTGACATTTTATTCCCAGCTTCTGGTACAGTTCTTGGTGTGTGTGTGTGTGTGTGTGTGTCCGCGTGTATTTGACACCTAATAAATACTGCGAAGTGAAGAAATGAAGACCTCTAGTCCCTTTCTCATAATCTGTATCAAGACCCCTGATTCTCTTTTGCCTTAACCAGTTTCTTGCCAAAATTTTCACTTACTTTGCACTGACATTTTCATAGTGTTTCACGGCTTCAGAACACCTTCATACCAGTTATCTCATTTTCAGTCTCTCCAACAGCTCTGTAAGATACTTAGAGAGTAGCAACTCTTTTCCTAAACAAGGCTTTCAACGTAAAATCTGTTATTACTAATCTGTTTAAATGGTCACCCGAGTTTGTGACCTCATTCCCTCTCATGAGGCTGGAGCCTCAGCAATAAATTGCAATTTTGAGAATTTTTCAACAGGTCTGTGACCATCCATATATATATATATCTCAAACTGAAAAATATATATATATATTCAATATATATTCAAATTCAAAAAAATATACACATATATATATTCAAGCTGAAAAAAGACCAGCTAGACAATAAACTCTTAACATCACTCCCCCCAATCCAAATATGGCTTTCTTTGTCCAAGTCACTTCCCTTGACCTCAGATCCCAGGTGATGCTGATGCTGCTGGTTCAGCATGC